ACCCATGTGGCAGCACTGGTGAAAAGTGGGGCCCTGGTACCCTGCACCTCCCCATGCAACACGCCCCTCTTCCCAGTCAAGAAGAAGACCCCAAAGGGTGAACCAGAGAAATATAGGATGGTGCAGGATTTGAGGGCAGTAAATGAAGCCACAGTGCTGGACACCCCCATCGTGCCAAACCCACACACCCTGCTCTCGGGTATCCCACCCTCCGCCAAGTTCTTTACAATGATTGATTTGGCAAATGCCTTCTTCAGTGTTCCCCTGGACTACAACAGTCAGTATCTGTTTGCCTTCACAAACGAGGGCCAACAATATACCTGGACAGTGATGCCACAGGGAGCCCAGAACTCCCCTAGTCAGTTTGCACAAGTTATGTCTAGGATCCTGAGCACATGGCAAGACGTCCACCCGGAAGTTACCCTGCTCCAGTATGTGGATGACCTGCTCTTATGTGCTGACACCCTGTCCCTGGCTGAAGAAACTGCAGAGAGTCTGCTTACATATCTGGCTAAAAAGGGGTGTAAAGCTTCCACAGACAAACTTCAATGGTGCTCTGAGAAGGTTATATTCCTGGGCCATTGCATCTCTCAAGGCACCCACCATATCACTGAAGACCGAATCATGGTGGTCCAGAATATTCTATTGCCCAAGGTTGCCAAACAATTACATGCCTTCCTTGGTCTCATTTCCTATTGCAGATCTTGGATTCCTGATGCCTCCATCCTCTTGCAGCAATTATATGACAACCTCAAATCCATCCCATTCACCCTGTCTGACGAATCCGTGGAAAACTTCATGCTGCTTAAACGAGCAATCTCCACAGCACCAGCTTTGGGCCTACCGGATTATGATAAACCATTCAAACTCTTCGTGTCAGAAAGACAAGGCCATGCATCAGGGGTCCTCGCACAGGCTCATGGGGGCAAGACTAGACCAATAGGATACTACTCCTGCCGGTTGGACCCAGTGGCCAGAGGGGGGCCTGCCTGTTTGAAGGCTGTGTTTGCAGCACAGGCGCTGCTGGACAAGACATCTGATTTAGTGTTAGCGCATCCACTCCTTCTGCTGACACCGCACGATATTGCTGCTATCCTTAAGCAGACCCAACCAAAACAGCTATCCTCTGCCAGACATATGAGACTACAGATATCTCTGCTGATCTGGGACCCCCAAGGGGGGTCCCAGACCAGGTAAAAGCAGGTTTTGAGTCCTTGATTCCCATAATTACTGTCAAAAAGAATGTATAAATTGTGACTGGATAAATTACATATATTACAACCATCAGCGGTTCGTGAATTATACCAGAGATGCAACAAAAAAAGGGGGGAGGAGTTACGCTAGTGTATAAACTAATATACCAATCTACAGGGTTTCATACAACTAATATTTTTACTATTAATATCTTAACAACACCAGTATTTTTACTGGTGTTGTTAAGATATTCTGGTGTGTAAGAACTTGGAGGGGGTCCTTTGCACTAGTCTGTACAGGAAAGCCACAGCGGGTAACGCAATCCTAGAAGAATTCTGATCTTTGTCAGCCTAGTAGACTGCTGTGTGATCCCCTATGCCAAACATTTAATGGCCAAAGCGGTGGATGAGAGTTTTACTTTGACCCCAACCATGATACAGGTAGAAGAGGACACCTACCTGAGTGAAAGCCCAGAGTCCGGCGCGCTACGCAGCCCAGAGCCCGACGCTCTACGCAGCCCAGAGCCCGACGCAGCCCAGGGCCTGGCACATTACGAAGCCCAGAGTCCAATTCATATAGTGTTCTGCATTGCCGTGTAAATGTATTGCTGGGATCTGTAGTCCCACTACGAGCTGTGCCATTCTGAAACACATATTAGGTATGTGTCACACATGCTGGAGTGGGAGAAATATTTTAGGGCAAGTATTTATGGTTGACTAAAAATTGGTGAGCTGCAAAGCATTGCTTCTGGACAATTTCAGGTCTCTTACTTTGTTGCTGTTTCACACAGTTTTGTCTTGATTTATTTTGTATCTATCCAAAAAGCAAAGGACTCACTGCTCCAATTCCCCCAGACTGCAGATCAATACAGACACCGGGTGCGGGCTGCAGTGTGCTCCCGCTTGTCAAACAATATCTCTCCAATCAGCCGCACAAAACCGAGGTCCATAAAAATCCAACTTTATTGTTGTAAATTCCATGCAAAGTTCAAAGTACAAGGTATACACCACCATAGTATCTCTCCCACTCCAGCACCTCTCACTGGTATACTATGTTGGTGTGTACCTTGTACTTTGAACTTTGCATGGAATTTACAACAATAAAGTTGGATTTTTATGGACCTCGGTTTTGTGCGGCTGATTGGGGAGATATATTTTGTATCTAGTTACTGAACTAATTCTCATCTTTTCTGTTTTTTGCCCTTTTACCCTGTGAATATCTGTGAATGTTCATCCTGTGAAATTATATGCACAAATGAATGTTCATTCGTTTTTTGTTTTTTTTAATAGATGGCACTAAAGGAGTATAGGAAATGATTATTCATTTTCTATGCTCCTCAGCTCTATCTAGTGGCCATAGTCCCATATTGAATTCAGAACATTCAAATTTATTTACACTTGTAAAGAGAAAAAAAAAAAAAGTTTGTTTCTGCATAAAGTCACACAGGATGAACATTCATAGACATTTAGGTATGTCTGTGCATCAAATCAAAAGTGGCTGTGGCACTAGAGTAACACTAGAGTGTTAAAGGTCACATAAAGTCTGATAGTGTTTGTCCTGCCAACTGCTTGTGTATTCTCAGCAGTTGAAAGTCAGTGTGTGAGTTCAGACAGCAACTGTTGGACTTTAGATGACCTCTGACCCTCAAGATGAAGAGCCAGAGTAAAACAAAAGTAGGCGAAAATTTAGTTTTCAAGGATGCATCCTCCTTATCCTTCCTAAGTTACCCTATATAAATATAATTAAAGACTAAATTTGTGTTTTCTTGGATAATCCCAATTTTAAATGGTCTTCCATAAATATCATTGTACGTCAGTAGGAGCCACATTGGATCTGTTTAGAGAAATTACAAGTTTGGGAGTCTGAGGATGGGGAAGGGGCCACAACAAAAAACTCTTTTTGTCTGATCACTAGTGGCGATATCATCTTATAAACATGGAGATGGTTGTTTTCTTCCTGAAATTATTTTGGGGTTTATATGCAAATTGTGCCAAGTCAGGTTCTTTTTAATGTAAAATAGCTTTTAGGTTAGTTATACACCTACCTCTACACCTTTTCTCGGTTCACTGTTGTATCCCTTTACTATTAGTGCCATATCCTCCTGAAACTTCTGGTATCCGCCTGGTTTGGAGTACAGTTTGTGTTGCAAGGCGTCCTCGAGGTCTCTAGAATGCTTCTTGATTAGCTGTTTACAGTACTTGAGAGATGCCGTTTCATTCATCCTGGAAAATTTCTTCTTTTTCTCCTCTATATTCCGCTGATTGGAAATAGAACGGTTGGAGGTGAGGTTGGTGGGTCATATGTGGTTAAAAATATAAAAGGTAAGTACCTACTTCCAGTGAATTACCAATGACCTCTTACTGTATTTCACTACCAGTGGCACAGTTTGTTATGGTTGGCTACCCAAGGAATCAAAGAGTACATTATTTTACTCCATTTTATACCTCTCCCTTCAGGTTACTACTCCAGAATGTTACATTTTATATAACTTTTTGCCCCAAAGATAAGACAGCATCAACACTCTAACTGCTTTCTACATTATCTGAAACTAAAAATGCTGTGGCTTTAGATTATATATATATACATTAGACGTGTACGTTTTGTTTCATTCCGAATTTAAATTTGGTGAATGAGTAGGGGTAAAAACAACTACCCCTTACTCATTCATGAGGAGGGGTGACATCTTGGTGTATATATATATATATTTGCAGTACAGGCAGGTTTGTCCAGCTCATCAGAGCCACTACTTATACTCATGCTGTTTCCTGATAGACAGGGTGCCCTCTATTGGTGCCCTGAAATTCCATTATTCTCTCATTTTGCTGAAATGCATTACTAGTTCAAAATACATCAGGCTGCCCATAATTTTGCTTAGGCCATCTTCAAATTCCAGCGCCAGATATCTGCTAATTTGGCCCCTTTGATCTTTATAGCCCTTACAATAATGCACTAAGCACCTGAGTTCTTTGTTCAAGCCTTCATTATGACTGGGTGAAGTAGCCCTAATGGTTGTTTATTGCAGGGTATCGTAAACCTCAACTAGCTGATCACCAATTAATTATTAATTACTCTAGTTAATATAACAAACTAACTGACCCTTACCTCACCCCTGGCAAAACTCACTCAATATTCATAACTTTGAACCTGGGGATGATACATTAATAATTATATATATATATAAATTGATCCTGAGAACAAACATACCAGACTCAGTGGGTCTAGAAGGTCCAGAGGTTTAAAGACCAACAATAACCCTTCTGAGGCAGACATACCTCATAGTTACATCAAATTTGGTGTTTCTTTGAAGCTAATTCTATAGCACACAATAATCTATGGTTCATCAAGTGGTAATAGGTAAATATACAGAAATATGGCTATTGATATTAAACTGACAGTTTGGGAGGGGCAGAGGAAAAGGTCATAAATCACTCAGCCCCCCTGCTTCACTCTCCCTGGTTCATCCTGATTAGGTTAGGGGCCGGCTCAGGGACAAGCCCTAGAGTGACCAAAAAAAAAAGTAGCTGTGCAAGGCAGCCAAAGCACTTTGTTTGAAAAACAAAAGAGGAGGCTCCTGTACTATCCAGAAAGAAGCTCCATTTGTCTTTAAAAAAAAACAAAAAAAAACCTTTGCTGCCTTGCCTTGAGAAAGAGTCCTATCCAGATCCACCTTCTGCTTCATTGTCTGAAGTTTGATAAAACCCAGGACTTTGTTAAGTACTCAGTTTTATTTCCTTTTTATTTCACTGTTGTTATATTTGTCTCTCTTTTGTAACATCTTTTACTGTATGTTTTTCCTGGCGAAATTCTTTTATTAAAAAAGCAATCTTTTCAAATTTCTACGCTCTAAATAAGACTTTAAAGTATCCTTGTCTCTGTGAAGAGTGCTACTCTACTGCAAAACCTGTCATATTCTTGTCTGAAAGTACAAAGGCATCACAGGCATTACGTTTTGAATTGTCACAGCATTTGCTAGGAATAATGTGTATTTCCATTAAAACACATGGTAGCAGCTATTGCTTGGGTGTGTAAAGGGTTAACCAAACTCCAGTAATGATCTCTCTCAGTCTGCTGGCCTTAGATTGTAGTCCCACAAGCTGGAAAATCTCTGTGTAGGGTGAGCCTGAGAGTGGTATCACCTTGTCTTTGTGACGGCTCAGTTGGATCGCAACTGCATATAGTCATGTGTTGGTGACATACAGTAGGTTCGGACTGGACTACACCCTCTAATGGGTTCCCCAAAACAAGTGTTAGAGTTCTGTCAGCAGTTAGTCTTTAACCTAGTAGCAGGCTCCCATGGAAGAGAGAGACCTCTGAGCATTTGTCTGCTCACATATGTTAAGGCTTGTGCATAGCTGGGACTCATGATGAGGTCTCGCAACCAAGTAAAATGTGGACCTAAAAATTGAAGGTTTATCCCACCCAGAGCACTACAACATCTCCAGGGTCCAGAACACAGACCAGAACTTATTAGGATCTGAAAAAACAGCAAGGTTTGTTTCCTCCAAACGGAAGGCATGCTCACCATAAACTGTTTATGGAAAAGAAGTTCAGAGTCTCGGAAGGACTTGTTCATGAATTTCTGAAGAGCTTCTTCCTCACACTGAGCACTCAGCTCCATAAACTCCTCAAGAGTCTCTGTGGGGAATCGTCCTCTCTCTTTCATCATCTTCTCATAGTGCTCAGTTGCCTCCTGGACAGCCACTTCATTCTCCATCTTAGATATACTCATCACTACATCCTCCATATACACAACGCTGGAAGACGTGGTAGCCTCTGTGTATTTATACACTAGCTGTCTCAGTACTAGACACAGGGAATATGCAAAAGATAATATAGAAAATCAGCCATTATCCACAACATAGGCTGGGGGAGCTTTTTTAGTAAGAAATATCAACCAATATTATATAAAAAACACAACCCTCCTTAGAGGCTTAACCCTGAGAAAATAATTCATTAGAGATGTACCCATGCATACATGCTAAAAACATCTGTAATAAATGTCCTTAAAATATATCAGTATAGATCTACCCTCACTTGGCCTTCCATCTCTCCCTCCCTTCTTCTTTTTCCTCATTTGGCCCTCTATGTATGCATGTGAGATAGGGACCTTAGATTGTAAGCTCCTAGAGGGCAGGGACTGATGTGAATGTGCAACTATGTAAAATGTTGCGTAAATTGTCGGCACTATATAAATACCTGTAATAAATAAATACATTTCTTCCTCCTCTGCTTCTCACCCTCCCCTCTTCACCTTTTACATCCTTCTCTCTTTCTTCCACTACTTCCCTCTTTTATCTTATATACTGATTTCATTCTCCTGCTCTCTCACTTTTTCCTCTGCTTGTATGCAAATCCTATTCTCTCCCTCTTCTCCTTTCACTCACTCTCTTTTTCCTTCCCCTGTCTATCTATTCCCCCTCCCCCCTTCTCCATCTCCCTGTGTCCTCTTTTCCCTTCTCTTGATTTCCCCTCCTTGTTTCTCCTTTTTTATTTCTCCCCTTTCACTCTTCCTCTCCATCTCTAGCACTCTTTCTCTCTATGCCTCTGTTCATTTCTCCCTCTTCTTCTGTCCTTCTCAATCTCCTTTTCCTTCTCTTCAGCTTTGCCTCTTCTACTCCTTTTACTCTCCTTGTCTCCCTGTTCTTCTTGTTTTCCTACCATTCTTTCTCCATGTTTCTGTCCCTCTGTCTCTGGCAGATAAACTCACTTTCTCCAGACACTGGTTTGATGTCATCTATGTGTTTAACTTTAGCATTTTTGTAAATGTATTCTTGGAATTTCTGACATTGATCCACAAAGTAAGGAGACAGCTTTTCCTCTGGCACCTCATCCATCCTCTGAAGAACCTTTTTATCTCCAGAAGGAGGGTCCAACACAAAACATTTGCGGGAGTCAAAATACATCCGGATAGCATCTCGGCAGCGATTGCGCTCTTGTATCTTTGAGGTCTCTTCTGTTCTCTCGCCTTTAAAAAACAGAATCATTTATATTCAAAGATACAAAAAAAAGGCAGTTATAAGAAGAAAGGACATTGTAAATAGTTTATTTTTACATGGAAACTGTTGCAGTTTTCAAAAATCATACTGGTGGTGGTGGTGGTGGGGGTGGGGGGGCATGTATCAAAGTGTAAATATTAAAGAATATGTAACGTTAATACTTTTTGTGTCCCGCTCTCTTTAATTCTCTTTAAAGTGAACAGAACTCTGATCTTAGAGAGATGTCCTAAATCCCTTTCACTTCATGTTTCAATGACAACTCAACATTTTTGGATTTTCTCTCAGTTGTTGTTTTGGTGACAATGGTCATTAGGACCCAAGGCGGCACTAAAAGTAATAAGAATCAGACATCGGATCTAACTCTTACCTACACTATCCAAAAAAAGTATTTACATACACTTTAAAATGTTTCTGTATGAGCTTCCAGGAAAGCGCAGTCAAACCTTTACTGGAAATTGACAGCCGCAGAAGGAAAGTGATTGTGAATGTGATTGGTTGCTGGAGGGCAATGCACCTGCACTACCATGAACCTGTGGGCAGCACCTTCCTGAACTGTTCACCAGTCACAGCTTCAATATTCCCTTGGACAGACTCCCCAGCTTGGATCTTGGATTGACTCCAACCACTTCCTAAACCCACCTCCCAAAACCCTTGGCCACATGCGGACATCACCAATACCTTGACTTCACAGTTAAAAATTACTCCAGATCCTAAACAAAGAACCTGACAATACAGCCATTTATTACATAAAAGCATTCAGAGACATTAATGACCCAATGATATAAAACTGGCAGCAGTTGCTGTCATATAACTCACATTTCTGAGGTAGCAGGGCATTCTCCAGGTACTCATCCTCTGTGATCTCCTTTCCATCCAACTCCAGCATCAAGGTGAAATCTCTCACCATCCAGATTAATGCAGGAAAGTGTCTAGAAAACTGACCCTCGTTATCCTCGTTATCCTCATCATCCTTAGATTTTACCTTAATCAGCTCAGCCAGCTCCCCCACAAAACTAATTTTGAGTTAAGGTTGTACAAGTCACATTTTTACCTTCATAGATTCTGTACATTAATCCACAACCCTGAACAATCCAAAAAGAATGTCTAATGGTCAGCATACAAGTCTATGGCATGTTTCATACTCAGGTGACCTCTGAGGCTCACAAATTCCTTTCATTGTTGGGATCTTCAGCTAAAGAAGTGGATTCAGCAACTAGGAAGTGAAGCAGAGCAGCAGTTGGAAGGTGACACAGAGTCAGGAAAAAGTTGCCATATTCATCATGAGATTGTATCAGTGGTCGTTTTTTTGTCTAAAATACCTAATTAAATAAACTTTATATGTTTAAACACTGAGTTAAAGGTAAATGATAATAATGGTTTTGACTTTCATTTTCTAATTTGCCTGTTCTCATTCTTCTTCAGAATGTATTCTGAACATGCACAGCTTATGGTACATTCTCAGTACACCTCTGTGCCGGGGCAAATGAACGGTCATGTACATGTGTGGCAGTTCCTTCATTCCCCTGCTGGTCAATCAAGATGGCCGAAGACCCGACACTTGGAAGTTTGCCGGGGAGAAGATGTCGGCACCAATGATGGAACAAGGGGAGGTAAGTTAGGTTCTGCTTTAAATGAGAAGTATGAGGGGGGTGCTTTTCACTCACCTCATAGTTCTAGCCGACCTGTGACAATGAGACTGTCACAGGTCGGCTCAGTAGATGAGCGAACACATACCGGCGTTCGCTCACCTCTCGATCCTGTCACGGCTCTCTGCCGAGACAGGGGAGGGGCTGGATTCCCCCCTCCCCGCTCCGATCCTCCAGCGCTGACTGGCGGAACGGACAGGGGGAGGGGGCGGGCACAGCTGGCTCTGCCTCTAGATAGGAAGAACCAGCTGTCACTCACGCAGCTGGGCTGATCCCGGCACAACTGTCGGGATCCGCTTCAGCTGCGGCGTCTCAGTATACCGCGAGCATCAGCTCCCTATATACTGAGCCTAGGGTGGCGGGAGGATGCTAGTTTGTGTCCTCCCGTCACCCTAAGGAGAACTATGGGGGAAAGCCCTAACCCCATAGTTCTCCTTTAAGTTTTTATTTTTCTTAACTAACATTTCATTTTTCTTTTAGCTAGTGTACAATACCTATAATTTATGTATATGTATTTATTACAGGCTTAGAAAGTAAAAAAAGTGTCACATACTGGAAATACACGGTATGTTCTTCATTCCTGGTGCCTGAATGGAGCAAAGGAAAGGTGAGTATGTGTTGCTGCAGGGATTGACATTAGAGTGAGCCTGTTACTGTAAACTGCAGAGGTAAAGTAGAAGTCCACTTTAAAGGTACCATCTGGCACATGGTGGTATTTCTTTAAAGCTCATTTGTGTGTTAATCCCCTCCCCCACACTCACCCTTACCCTTTTTTGCTAGTATCCCTCTAACTAATTATTAGAATTCCTTTAAAAAAAACAAAACAAAAAACCACTACTAAGTACCTACCTGACATCACAGTCACATGACAGGCTGGGTTCTGATACTTCTTTTTGGGAGTGTCCTTTTTTGAGTGCTCACATCATGCCCCTTTGATGTGGATGCTTCCCACTGGCCGTTAACAGAGTCTGAGGGGGGCAACAAATCCGGTTGGTGGGCGAGGGTGCTGGTTCTAATTACCGGTCTCCATTACTGAAAGAGGCACCATTGAGGGTTATGTGACAGTGGGAAGTGAAAAAATGCTTTAAGAGTTTTCATATGTTTCAGTTTTTGAAATTAGTCGGACTCGGTGAGATAAGAAGGGGGAGGTTTGGTTGTATTTGTTTTTGCTCAGAAATGGCATTAGCATCTTTAGCCAAACTACAAAGTTGCTTTAACACCCCAAATGTTTGCATACATGTGTTACTTCACTATCAATGTCCGGGATTCTTTTCTGTTTACATGTCATTTGATATAGCCCGAATTCTGTAAAAAGTGGAATAAGTTCTAAAAACCATTAAGATATTTTTATTTAGTAAATTGTACTTGTTTTAATTGCAGAGTTAAGAGTTCCAGCAAGCTTTGCTAGGTCTTCTTCCTATGTCTTCTTCCAGAAATAAATCCTTTAGTCGCTTGCCTTAGCAAACCTTTGCGCTGGGTGACACAATTGGATATATTGATAAGAAGTTCACATACAGCGAGGTGAACAAAGCCCGACGCTGATTCCATTATGTATCTGCGGACATGAACCATTTGCACAGGAACAAAACTAAAATTGTTTCCAATAAGCTTTCTGAGTGTTTAAAAAACATTTCGTAAACATGAAATATTCATGATATGTCAATTATACCGACAGCTATGATGCTCTGGTTTTACCAACTTTCACATTTTGGGACACAATTGCTTCTATGCAGGGTTTAGGGTCACATATTACAACTCGTCTACTCCCCAGAAGAGCTACACTCCAATATGCCTGCCGTTAACCTGCCTTTAAATGTTACTGGATTGTAAAGGATACCGCAGCTTCTCAAGTGCATCTTCATCGATGGTTCCTCTGCTGTTGTAGACCAGCATGCTGCTCAGCAAGACAGACAGACAAAATATCTTTATGTCATTTTTCTTGTCTCCCTGTAAAACAACAATGTCCCCATGTTACTTGGAGTTTACTGCTTATGTGTTAAGGCTGATCACAGTCATATGAAAAATGAGAGCTTGCACAGTGAGAGGACTTTGGTAACTGGACATCTAAAGCAGAAACACTTCTTCTCTTTAAAGGGACTCTCATTAACTATTGAGACATTATACTGTTTATACCAATAGGTATCTCAACGCACTCCTGACTGGAAACTACCCGTAACAGTGGCATAGTGGCTAGCACTTCATCCTTATACTGGGGATCCCCAGTCACTATCTGCAAGGAGTTAACATGTTCTCCCTGTGCTGTGTGGGCAGGGCAGCCTTCAGAAATTTCGGGGCCCCTTACATGGCTTTAGGCCGGCCCCCCCAGTGCGCCGGACTCTGGGCTTAGTTACGAGCCGGACACAGGACGCACCTGAGACCCCACACAGCCCACCTGAAAGTGACCCTCCAGAGCACACCATACATGCTGCACAGCTCATCCGAGACTCTCTATGGTGGGCTCTGCAGGGGTCTCAGGTGGGCTAGTTGGGGCTGCATCTCCCTCCCAGCTCCTCTTACCTGCTGCTGGTGCCTGGCCTCCTCTGCCTCCGGACTGGCCGGAAGTGACGTGATCCCCCGCTACCTCTGGCCACTCGTCTGCGTCGCTGTCAGACTAGTATAGTGATGGCGAATGTTTTTGAACCCGAGTGCCCAAACTGCGACACAAAATCAATATATTTATCTCAAAGTGCCAACTCTGAAAATAACTTTAGTATTGCGTTGCAGTTCGGGCGCTCGGGTTTAAAAAATGTTCAGCATCATCACCGCCTCAGACAAAATAGGCAAACACATATACAAATATTTCTACACTCATTAACCACTTGCTGCCAGGAGCAATTTCTTACAGTTGCACACACATTATTATTATTATAATACAGGATTTATAGAGCGCCAACAGTTTGTGCAGCGCTTTACAATATAAGGCAGACATTACAGTCACAATACAATTCAACACATGATAAAATCTGAATTTTTGGGTAGAAAACAGCTTTGGACCCCCAAATAATGATATATTTTCTGAAAGCAGAGGCCCTGTAGAATAAAAAGATACTAGTTGCAATTTTTTATGTTGCATGGTATTTGCGCAAATGTTTATCAAACCTGTATTTTTAGGATAAAATACACTAAAATGAAATTTAGTGCACAGAATCAGAATATAATGGCTAATTTTTTTGGTACAATATAAAAGACGAGGTCACGCCGGGCAAATAGATACCAAACATGTCACGCGTCCATGAAACCGCCAAAAACTACAATAACCAAAATTTCCCATAGGCGACGCTTTAAATGCTTTTACGGCTCATCAGTTTAGTGCTATCAGTGATTGATGGGCCTAGAATTATTGCTCTCACTGCGACGCTCGCGACGATACATAACATGTGTGGCATAATTTTTGTTTTTGCATGTAGGCGCATCCGACGCAGGTTTGTGTTGTATGTGTGTGCGTGGAAAGGGTAAACTTAAACAAATATTTTTTTGCATTTTAATTTTTTTTTTATGTTACTTCAATTTTTACCTTTTTTTTACACTCAGCTTTATTGCTATCACATAAAACGCCCCTTATGTAATAGCACATATAAATGTGACAGGTCCTCTTCATGGAGACATCAGGGGTTTTTCATACCCCTAATGTCACCTAGGGACCCCAAAGAAGCTGATGAAGCAGAGATCTGCTTCACCAGCTTCTTCTTCTGGCTCTAAGGGGTTGTCCACACCACTTGCAGTGCATCCCGGCCTGATTCCTCAGGCTCAATTTTTGCTGGGTAGGAGGGGGAGTGGCGGGCCATTGAAGTGAATGGCGCCATAGCCACGCCCTCCGGCCACAATGCGATCACCCACACGGGATCGCAGGGCACATTGTGACCGCACCACACCGGAACGCACTGCAGGCAGAATGTGCCCTGCAATCCTGTGCCCTACAATTACGCGAACCCCGCGGGAAGCGGTTAAAGAAAAAACAAACAAAAAAAAAACACGTGTAATGAAACACACACATATCACACACACTCATTAAAAAACACACACATAGCTTCATTAAAAAAAAAAAAAGCACACACATTCATTAAAACACACACACAATAAAAACACACACACACACACATTAACAATTAAAATAGTTATTTAAAAAACGTCCCCCTCTCCTGCTTACCTGTTTTGCAGGAAGGGAGGCTTCATCCCTGGGCTTCAGTGGAGAATCAGTGTCATGATCTGCACTCTGGCTGAGCAGGCATACTAATCGATCCCTGCCTGTTAGCAGAGGCACCACGAGGGAGCGATCAGTATGATCTGCATCAGCAAGAGGTGCAGATCATGCTGATTCCCCACTTGATGACCACCAGGGAATAATTTTCATTCAATATATTGCCTGTTTGGCAATATATTAAATGATATGTGGGCGCTTGCCAGCTTTAAAAACGAATGTACAGTGGAGAGACCCCCTGAGGACACCATAGGAGGCATCCCAGGTGAGGGTATGGAGCGTGCGGGCCCGGCCTCCTCCGGTGCTGCGGGGGGCCCGGCCACATCCTGGCCTGTCACTTGAACGGCCGATTCTAATGTAAGGTGCCCGGGCCGGGCCCCTAACGGCAGCCCTGTGTGTGGGTTTCCTCTGGGTACACTGGTTTCCTCCCACACTCCAAAGTCATGCAGTTAGGTTAATTGGCTCCTGTCTAGATTGGCCTTTGTATGTATGCATGTGAGATAGGAACCTTTGATTGTAAGCTCCTTGAGGGCAGGGACCAGGGACAGATCAACATAGGGGTGGGTGGAGCTCCAGCCACTCCTGCAAATAGGCCAGGCCAACCCAAACCCGCTGGCCCGACCTGAATCACGGCCGGGCCGCCTCGGCCCGACCCAAATCGCAGCCAGGCTGGCTGAATAGAGGGCCCCTGGACGCGACCAGGCAGCTGCAGCCCTCTATTCAGGCATATCAGCCCCTGAGAGCCTGCACAGCCCCCCCTTAAACCCTGCACAGGTTTCCTGATACCCTGGAGACATCAGGCTGCAAACCCGGAGCAACACAGAGTATGTAGCTTCATATTATTCTGCATTGCTGTATAAAGTATTGCTGGGATTTTTAATCCTCTAAAGCTGATGGTTTTATTCTACAGTGCTTTACAATGTGTTGCTGGGATTTGTAGTCCTGTATTAGTTGGGGGTATTTCTGCATTGCTCTGTAATGCATTACTGGGATTTGTAGTCCTCTATAGTTAGTGGTATGATTCTGCATTTCTGTATAATTTATTGCTCTGATTTGTAGTTTTCTATAGCTGGTGGTATTCTGCATTTCTGTGTAATGTATTACTGGGATTTGTCGTCCCTCTACAGCTTGAAGCCAGTGGCAGATCTGTCAGGTTCACAGCTGCAACCGGGCCCAGGTGCTCCACCACTGACTCCAAGCTGTAAAAAGACTACAAATCACAGCCCGGAGAGGAGGAAGAGGGCCCCGGTGACTTTCACCATTTCCATAAAAAGGCCCAACGAAATCCTCAGCACCAGGCCCGTGATGCTCTTAATCCAGCCCTGGCAGGGACTATGTAAAGCGCTGGGTAAATTGTCAATGCTATATAAATACCTGTAATAATAAATTGTCAGTGCTATATAAATACCTGTAATAATAAATAAACAAATAAATAGTTGCTAAAATGCCTGCAGATGGCACCTCTGGGAACAATGAAGAAGTGAAATGTCACCAGCACACCGGAAAAAAAAAACCTGGTCAAGTGAGCGTCTTTTATTGACGCATATTGTCACATTGATGGCGACGTTTAGGGGCCACGCAGGGTCCCCATCATCAGGTTCAGTATGACAAAAGTGCAATAATTCCAAATCATTATACGCAAACTGCTGGTGTGTCTCTATATAATCTTTGTGAATTATTGCACTTTTGTCATACTGTGCCTGATGAAGGGGACCCGCAATGTGACAATAAGTGTCAATAAAAGACGTTTACTTGACCAATTTTCTTCTACTGGTGACATTTTGCTTCTTCATTGTACTGCTTATAACACAGATACCAGACACATTAGTTATACATGTAACAGGTCCTGATGACTAATGATTTGTATATTTTGGTGTCTTCTGTATGACTAATTGCTTCTAAAATACTTGTGTTCTTAAAGTGGATATTTACCCCCTTTTACTAAATATAATGTAGCGCTCACCCCCGAAGGAGCCGCTGGATGAACAGGTCCATATCTAGTCAGGGATAGATTTCCAACTGCCCCATTAGCATCAACCGCCCTCTTCCTGTGCCCATAAATTGAGGTCCGCTCCAGTTGTGGGATGCTGGTTAAACAGTTTATTCACTTCTAATAAGGGAGAGAGGGTATAGGGTCTAGGTGCACAGGCCTCCTTAGCTCCAGACTCACAGGATTCTATCCCAAGGGAGTACATCTTCACCAGCTATGAAGAACACTGACCCCACTCTGAAGTCCATACCAATCCAAGGCACTTCAAGGTCACTGGTCCTGGTTCTTCCATCTTTCAGGCATTCTCCTGACTTCAAGCTTCCAAGGAGACCTCTCCTTCAGCAGCTCGGCCAACTCCCACCCCCAGGCCTCGGCCTAGCCTGAGGGCAGGCTGAACAGGACCCAACCTTAGTCCATGGCTGGTCCAGGCAAGAGAGTGAGCACATGGTACCCCCACTAATATATGTACCCTTTGTCAGCAGGCACCACTGGCTACAAGAAGCCCAGTAACTGGCTGCTGCCCTGTACACATCACAGTGTCACCCATTGGCTGTCCTACAATGTGACAGAGTCTCACTCCGCCCAGGGGGGCACAGACAAGGTTAGACACCTGGGATTAACCATGTGCTGACTGCTACAAATTCAGCCAGGCTGCCTACAGCCCTGGCTATCACTAAATATATAGTAAGCACTTCACAAAAGGTGACGGGCGCTACAATAACATCAGCATACAGCTCTTATAAATCATCTTATATTCATTAGTTAACCACCTCCAATCCACAGATCATTGGGAAACAGCCGGAAGGAAGCCTTCTTGCAGCGTGTGGGTGTCTTAAAACGTCCTTTGTGCCCCTGCACACGAACAGGAAACTACCAACATTTGAAACAGCCAGTGATGGCTGTTTACATACAGGCGGTCCAATCGCTTATATGTGGTACCTTCCTGTGCTCCCCCCTCCCCTTACCTCTCCCCCGCCACCGTTGACGTGATCCCGTGCTCTGTGCCCGATCCGGGACCGGCAGGGCACTTTCTGCATTCAGGGTCACTCTACGGCTACAGAAGCAGGAGAGAAGATGGTGACGCAGATTTCTGCTTCATCAGCTTCTTTGGGGGTCCCTAGGTGACATTAGGGTTCTTAGAGACCCCTGATGTCTCCATAAAGAGGACCTGTCACTGTAATTTGATATCACATAGGGGACTTCTTATCTCCCTATGTGATAACAGTAAATTTAAGTGTAAAAAAAATTGGTCAAAAAATTACAATATGCACACAAAAAAAACCCACAACAATTTTTTTTTAAGTCCCTCATCCCTCCAAAAGAAGAATACGCCCATTACGTAGCACATGTTACTACGTGGAGGTCAGAGTGTGAGCAATAATTCCAGGGCCATTAGTCACTGATAACACTGAACTGATGAGTGCAAAAATGTCCGGAACATGAAGGGGAGGGGGGTGGGGGTATACTCCGGTCAGCAAGTGGTTAAAACAAATTTGTTTTTCATTTACTTACAAATAGAGTTCATCTACTTCCTGGTCCAGTTCTGGCACAAATTATGTAAGTGCCAAAGCATTGCATCCTGGGAAAGTTACATCAGAAGAGCATTGCTGGGAAATCTCATCTCAGGGAAAGACATTTTCCTCCCCTGAGATGTTGTGCATGGTCACATGTACCAGAGTTCCAGGAAGTAAAGTGAGATCTAGTAATCTGCCTTTAGTAAACATGGCTGCTGTGAGAAGACTGAGGAAGAAAAAAGAAATAAGGAATGCAAAGAATACAAAGCCGGGGAATTATCTAGAAGTATGTGTGTGAAGATTGCCATTACTAAACATTTCTAAAGGTGTGTTTGTTGTTATTTTGCAGATAAGGGTAAAGTTAATCTTTAAAGGGACAGTCATTTAAATACACAACTGTATATGTGATCTGATTTACCTGCCAAGAACTAATATTACTATTATTCGGACACCCTTAGTAGACAGTACAGTCAGGTCTCTAAATTTAGTTTTCTTTGCACATTATCAATACAGCTTGGTCACCCACCTACTTCAGGCTGGTGACTGGACAGTAAAAAAATTTGGAAAGAATTGCTGAAATTTAATATAAAGATAATAATTTGAGAACTTTTTTTAATTGTGATTATGAAGACATTTAATGATATTTACTGAATATAAAACAAGCAAATTGTGTGGCTTTAGATTTGCCTAGAGTTTAGCTTTAAGCTCATCAGCATGCTGCCATAACTGAATTATTTTTAATTGTATGATCTTTGTGTAGAGTGGTCTATAATGGATACAGTGAGGAGGGAACCAATATGACTTCACCATCTATTTCAATTACTAAAGAGGAATTTAGTCAAAACTTACTTTTTGGACATCACCCAGACCTTCTGTGTCCAGCAGGACCAATGCGTGGTCTTTCATAGTGGGATGGGGGACACACCACATCCAGATACCTTTGGTCTTTGCTTGCACAGCGGCACCCAGCTCGAAACCTGAAACCAAAGGATATACCCAGATACAAATGTTAGTTCTTACAGTAGATTAAAGGCATTCATGTTTAAGAGCTGTGGTAGCACATAGAAAAATACGTGCTTACCGCACCTTAACTTAGCATCGAACTCCACCCTATTGCATAGTGTGAATGATCCCTTCTCCCAAAGTAGACAACATTTAGAGGGTTATTCTTTAAGCTGCCAAAGGCATCCGAGTGAATAACCAACACGAAGTGAAGTGAGCCGAACAGCGTTGGGTAGTCACTTCTGCTTCGTACGGCTGATTTTAGCGGTACATCGGCTGAAATCAGCCATACATCAGCCGAACATGCCCTGTGAGGAGGCAGTTTGATTCAACCGATTCAACATTTCGATCGACTGAGCCGAAGCTCCGGCAGCTCACTCGCTGCCGTTCGTCCCTATTCTCATATTCCCATAGGGGCCAAACGGCAGTAAGTAAATAGCCGAAGGCCGCTGAGCAGCCTTTGGCTCGGCTATTCTGCTCGGTACCTCCGAGGGAGTAGAATAGAAAAAAATGTAAACAAAAGAAGAAAAAAAAAGATAGAAAAATAATTTAAATAAACGTAAAAATAAGAAATTAAAATAAAATGTTCACATAACAATTTAAAATATATCTAAACAAAAACAAAAAAAAACATTGTGGGGCACTCGAGGACTGGTAGGAATATTAGGAGGGACACCATGTTAAAATAATTAAAAGTGTGTGGGGTTCCCCCCAAATTCATAGCAGGCCCTTTAGGTCTGGTAGCAGTTTTAAGGAGGAACACCAACCCAAAAAAATGGAGATAAATAAAAAACATGAGTTCCCCCTAAGATTCCTTACAGACACAGGCTTGGCAGGACAGGAAAGGGGGTGGACGAGCGAGCACCCCTCTCCCTGCCATACCAGGCCACATGCCCTCTGGGTCCCCCCTGAAAAAGCACCTTGTCCCCGTGCTGACCTGGACAAGGGCCTCTTCCCCACATGCCCTGGAGTGTTGGTTGTGCGGGTGCAGGCAGGGGGGCCTATTCACATCAGGGTACCACTTTACAAAAGGGGCAACCAGATGCCTCCCCCCTCCTTGTAAATGAGTCCTTTACTTGAACAAACAAGAAAGTCAGTTTTTGACAAGTCTTTTTATTTAAAAAATAAAATAATTATAACAAATATAAAGTATTGGGTGAAGCTAGCGGTGACATCATGTCTTGCTCCACCCGGTTGTCATCAAACGATAGCCCAGTGTCCTCAGATCTAAGGGGCACTGACCTGTCATTACATGAAAAATACATATACAGCATTAAGTCTGGCTCCACCCAGTTATTTTTAACAGCGGGGAAGACGGTCTGCTTTGCAGACCGGTCGCCCCGCTACGGCTCAGCTGAACTGAGGCATATGCCTTCCGCTCGGCTGAGCTGCTCGTCTGTCTCGGTCTGCTATACGAGCTATTGTGAATATTGTGAATAGCCCATACATCATATAGAGAAGATCTTGTTGCACTCCTTACCGGAGATCCCCATGATGGGAATGGGTGCTAGGAATGACTGCGGATGGAACATAGGTTTTTAGAAAAGAATTCTCACCAGCACACCAGAATCCTTTTAGGAAGGTCAAAAGATAATTTTTTGAACAATTGTCAGATGGAAAACAAGCGCTTTCGGGACCACACAGGGTCCCTTCATCAGGCTCAACATCGACATCTACGACGATCTTGAGCCTGATGGACGGACCCTGTGTGGTCCCGAAAGCGCTTGTTTTCCATCTGACAATTGTTCAAAAAATTATCTTTTGACCTTCCTAAAAGGATTCTGGTGTGCTGGTGAGATTTCATTTCTACTAGACAGTACAGCAGCCGTTTGGTTCGACTGAATGAAGGGCTCAGGCGGCTGAAGAGAGCTGAAAGATCAGCCGAAGCTATGGCTAGATCCTTCGGCTCTTTAGTGAATAACCCCCTTAGTTGTGCTATAGCACTGAGTATCATGTATAATTGGCATACTTTAAAAAAAAAATATTGGTAGAGAGGGGTGGAGGCCACTGAGGTGGATGAGTCTAGCAGAAGCATTTTTGGTAGACTGAAGAGGGATAGCCTGTGAAGAGGTAGGCCAGGGAGAAGGAATAGTCAAGGTTAGAGATTGTATCTGATCAATGAGTGAAAACAATTCATTTTGATCCTTTCTAAAATTCAGAGCTGTCCTGTGTTCTGTTCATTCTTCTTGTGTTATCTCAAGGAGTCTAATCAGCCCTCCAAGTTCTCAACTTGGACTATGAACCACTCCTCTTATGTTGTGGAGATAGGGGAGATTCTGTAGTTAAGCAAAAGACAACTGGGCAGGGCTGGCTCCTTCATTTTTTTATTGCAGTCTAGTAAATGCACACAGTGTTGTCAGCTTAGAACTGTAAATGGGGAGCTGAGTGCATTTCTGGCAGACAAGGTATATTCCTGTACTTGCAGTTTCTTTAAATGGATAAATAGCGAGGAATGTGCATGCACGGTGGAGATGTACTACATATGTTTTTTTATTTTATTTTGCACATATCATAGATCTGTCTTCTCACCTTTCTGAAAGCCAGCCAACTTGTTCATCATATAAGACTTTCCAGTACGGTACATTCCAACAGTGGCCACCACAACCAATGGCTGATTGATCTTAGACAAGATATCTACGGCTTCATCGTTGACCTTAAATCTTCCATCTTGAAGGTTTTCAATCAGACACACAGGAGCCTCCATTTTATATCTTACCTAAAAATAAACACAGACATGTTGGTCACAATTACAGTGTATCTAAACTAAGGATGGGCTGCATGTTCGACAGGTTACACAGTAAGGAGGATTTTCCTGCTGTGTAACCTGTTAGATGCCGATCTGAATGGAGAAAAAGCTGTCAGCTTCATGTCTTTTTCTTCCATAATACTAGGTGAGGCTCTGCCTCCCCTGACAGCACATCCCTGCTATGTATAAATCACTGGGAGCGGTGTGAATGGAGCTGATAAAATGTTCTTGTCTTAAATGTGAACATTGCTATGCAACGGGTACCAAATCAAATCTTGGTGGCAGATGAACATTCAGTTAGGGGAAATGTTAAAAAAAAATCTAACATTTGCATTATTTGGGTAAGTTAATATTGGCTCATCTAAGAAAGGAAAATGTATGTATTAGTCTGAATGTGTTCATCTGTTAGCACTAAATCAAATCCTCTTATTGTTTGTTTCATCTATATGGCAATTGTTGTTTGTTTATATTTGAAAACAATAAATGTATCAGTATTTGTTCGTCAAATGTTGTTTGATGAAATGTGAACAATCTGTGGTGTTTAGGCCACTGGCTGGGGATGATCTTCAGGTCGAATGTGAGTGACAAAGGAAGCAAAGCAGCTGCGGAACACTGGCCGAATATAACCAGGACAGGAGGTGTGTGTGTCTGTATAGGAGAGGGGGGGGGGGGGGGGGGGGGAGTTTTGGGAAATTTCCCTCATTTTGGAAAGAATTCCTCTCATTTGCTGTTTTTTTCTGCAGGACCATGGGACACAAGGAAAAATAAATGGACAGGAGTCTTAAGCCCTTCGTACACATCCAACACTAAAAAGTTTGACCTTACATATACTTTAAATGCAAATTTAAAACAACATAAGCTGTGATGCTGTGCTGTGTGTTGAGTCATAAAAGGGTTCATTGTTTCTGAGTTCCAGCAGTGAACAGTTCCAGGAAATATCTCTGCGATTTTCTTTGATAGGTTTTCCTGTGCTGGCCGATGACCCTGTTGACTGTATATTGGGGGGAAGGGATGGGGATTAAATCAAGAAAAATGTTCACAATATCTCCCCCATCAGAAATATATGTCACAGAGTCCTGTATTTCGAGGTAACGTTGTTTCTTGTGATGTCAGATAGAAGGCGATACATTGTGTCCCTCCAGGTACACGCTAAACACCGGATTATGGATCTACGCCACATCATCTCCGTAACTTTATCTGTCCTCTCTTTTGGGGAGGGATTTAACTCTTATGAAAAGCACCTAATTTGGATTGTTTTCATATGAGATTGAGCCACTGCCATCAAAAGGTTAATTCTCTTGCTAACCAACAATAAAGGATCGCTCCCACCACACATCACCCGTTAATGTACGTATATTACATGTGTGTGCCGGTGTGTGGTGTGAGTGCACTCACAATATCTGTATTACTGTCCATGCTTCATGACCTAGTGACAACGCCCCACCCCCCATTACTTGTCCTGTTGTCACAAGGACAGGAAATAAGTGAAATCTACCCAATGGAGTTACAGAGAGAAATAAAAATCTGAAAGAAATGTTAGCTCTCCCCCTCCATCCACAACTAGAGAAATGTCTTACAGTGTATGGACAAAGGGAAAGAAAACATATTCAGTACATGTCTGCAATACAAGCACATTTCTTAGGATTTGTCTCTTGAACCACCAGAGGAGCGGCATGCTACGTCCCCTTCCTGTCCAGACTAGTTTTCAATTATGTGATATTAGACAATTACTCAGTCATGCATTTTATATAATTGTTGGAGACAGATAGAGGTTTCATGTGTTGGTGTTTAATGACACGCAACACAGAAAGAAAATGTATAAATGAACCCAAAGGATTGCACCATCTGACTGTTCCATTACCATTAGGGATGCGCCGATACCGGTTTTCTGTATCGAGTACGAGTACCAATAGTTTTTTTGTCATGACGTGCCACCTATATTCCTGATTGGTCAGGAAGCCAGGCTGCCCACCAACAAGTGCAGCTGGCTTCCTAGCCAATCAGGAAGACGGGCGGCACGTCGTGACCCACATCCCGCTTCCTGATTGGCTAGGAAGCCAGCTTCACTTGTTTCTAGGCAGCGTGGCTTCTTGACCAATCAGGAAGCCAGGAGGTGAGTCATTAGTGCTGCCCGGCTTCCTGATTGGTTAGGAAGCCAGGCTTCCTAGCAACAAGGGAAGCTGGCTTCCTAGCTAATCAGGAAGCCGGGAGGCAGGTCATAACCCACCACCTGGCTTCCTGATTGGAAAGGAAGCTGGCTCCTTGCTCCCTCGGCACTTGTGGTCAGAGGGTGAACTCCCTCTGACCGGACGTTCCAGTATCGGAGGTATCATAGCATTTGGGTGAGTACTCAACCAAATACTCGCTATCGGCACGGATACCAATACTAGTATCTGTATCGGTGCATCCCTAGCTATAACTAAAATTATTTTTTGATAATGTATTTGTTTTGTGTGGAGAAAGTGTGGAGAAAGCAGTCAGGCTGCAGGTCGCCCAATCCTTCCTTCAGATTTGGAGTGTATTAAACGTCAGTATGTTGCTGTCTCTGCCAGGTGCTGTTCAGAATGCTCCAATAGTCTGTGTTGACGTGTGATGTTCTAAATACTCATCAGCCCAGCCAATCACAGCGGAACCTTGGTGGTGTTAGCTGGAGATGTGATAAATATTTTGGGCAGCTTTTTCAGAGTGTTTTTGGTTCCATGGGCTCCACAGGAATAGTATGCTGAAATATGAGTCTCCTGGGCTCAGGTCCAAGGAGTTGCATTTTAGAGAAGTCTCCCCTTCTGAGATACTACACTCTGATGGCCTACTAAAGAATAAGTAGTCAAGTACTTGGCAAGTACTTGCAGAAGGTACAGAAGTTACCAGTGTTGGAAGAGGGTTTGATGGCTGCCACCCTCTTCCAACACTGTTAACATCCGCATCCCTCACCTTACACTGCTCCCTTTCCTCCTCTATTCTCTGTTAAGCTGCTCATCCCCTGCCGCTTACCTCATTGTAGGACTCCTGCTCCTGATACCAAGAGCTGTGGGCGGTGCAGGGAGAGGACCCTGTGTGCTAAAAGTCACCGGTCCTCCATTGAGATGATCAGCACAGCCCAGGGCAACAGACGGGACCCTAATAGGTCTGCTCAGTGGAAGGTGCCGCCCACTTGCCATAGTTACATAGTATTTGAGGTTGAATAAAGACATTAGTCCATCAAGTCCAACCTATAGGATCTCATTCTTAGCTGTACTACTTATACCCCTGTATGTTACCTGTACCCCTGTATATTACCCGTACCCCTGTATATTACCCGTACCCCTGTATATTACCCGTACCCCTGTATATTACCCGTACCCCTGTATATTAGCAAACTACCTTTCAGTTTGTTGTCTACAATGACCCCCAAATCTTTCTACATTTCATAGTAACAAGCTGATTGACAGGCTCCTCTCCTCCTTCTATGCCGAGGAGCCCTGGTCCCTGTAGAGAAGGAGGGAAGAAGCCTGACAATCAAGTGGTAACCAGGACAAGTGGACCCCTTACCACTTTAATCCCTTACACCCCAAGCTCATAATGTAAGAAAATACTAATGTAATTAAAGTAAAATGCATTTAATGCTAGTATACTTAAATCTATTTACACAATTTCTAATACGTAAAGTGCAGTAACCCAAAGCAACTGGCCGCGACCAGCATCCACTCATCTTATTTTGATATGTTAAAATCTGGGTGCTAAGGGTCATCATGCTTGCCCTTGCTTACGGAATACACAGCTTGGCTGTGGAAGGACCACAAGTTCCAGCAAGCACTCCTAGCCATACCATGGCCTTTATGGACCCCCACCCAATGCATTATGACAAGGGGTTGGCAAATTCTGGCCCTCTAGCTGTGGTAAAACTACAAATCGGATAAAGTAGCGAAGGGTTTGAATACCTGTCAGTAGAAATGCACTGTTACTTTTTGAGCACCAATGCCGATACTTGGCATTTTCACGAGAAAAAAAATGGCTTTAACCCCTTTGTGACTGACGATGTGCAGTGTACGTCGCCAGCATCGGGGCTGTTTAAACAGACTCCCGGCGACTTTTGCCGCCGGGAGTCTGTTTAAACTTGTAGAGCCGACTGTCGGATTTACAACAGAAGCGATCCTGGCGACTTACTTGTCGCCAGATCGCTTCTGATTTGTCACTAAATTTTGGGGTTTAATAAGGAGTTGCGCTAATATTGCGCAACATAAAAATGTTCAACTACCACCATTTTATTCTATAGGGTCTTGGCATTCAGAAAATATATAATGTTGGGGGGTTTTACGTCATTTTCAGGCCTAAAATGTGGAATATAACATGGGTGCAAAAAATGAAAAAAGGGCCTCAGTCATGAAGGGGTTAAATATACTTTTTCTGACCCCTAATTTTAATCCTTCACTGCTCTGATATAGGAAACTAGATAAAAACAATTGTTTTGGCTATATTTTCACATAAATTCTTCCCTCACTTCTCAAACAAATTACTGATTTCTTACCGTTCGCCGTGATACAGGAATTCTCTCTGTAAGATAGGGAAAAAAAAATAAAGTAAAACACAAGCGAAAGACTGGTAGGCTGAAACCAGATGGAGAGAGACAATGCCTCTGCATACACGATACTTCCCGCACTGACACTGTAGTTCTACCCACAGCCCCTTGTGTGTACTGGATGTGGTCACTTGGTAAATGCAAGCTGCAGCAAAACTGCAGTGCTCACTACAGATTCATAATATATACATAATGCTGATTACAGATAAAAAGTATAACAGAGTATAAGAAGAGATACACGGATCACACGGGAGTTCCAGAACTTTATAACCAGGTTTCGGGCTAAGGAATTTTATAATAGAGGAGACTTGGGAGTTGTACACTACTTTGTGCAGGGTGCTGGGATATGAGAGTGCTGGTTGTGAAGTACCGGTGCAACACAGTAATCTTAGGAAAGAATGCA